TACTTGTGTGGCCTTGAAATTTGGATAGACCATTTGGCAGGTACGGATATATTTAATTTGCTGCATTATTATAGTTTTTGACATTCTTCTAATAAGGTTAATGTAAGATAGGTCATCTTTTTAATTTTTTTAGAAGATCTATTAAAAAATTTATATTCTAATTAATAGTTTCAAAAACCAATCATTGGATGAAAATTCTATTCATTTAGTCATTCATATCAATTTTCACATTGATTTAACACTTATAACCTTTGTATCAAAGAATCTCTATTTATTGATATATATGTAATAGTGTTAAATTTGATATAATCAACAAAGTGATTAGGGTTTTTAGAACAATCTCAAAATTAACATGCATGATCTATATGAATAGAACTTTCGTTTCTATGCTTGGTGTTTGAAATATTAATTTAGAAAATGAGTTTTTAAATAGATCCCGCAAAAAAATTTGGAAGGATGGCTTGAAAAACACATTTTATTGTTTTAACTGTTTTTGGGTATATATTTGGAGTTAGTAAGTTAGTATTACAATGGTTTGAACCCACGTAACCTTAATTCTAAATCAAGATTTTTAAGTTAACAAGTGAACATGGTCAAATTCTAGCATGTTGGTTGCTGTCTTAATTTATTGTAGTGGGCTAAGTCTTTTCTTTCGAATCTAACAGAAAAAGGCAACCCATCTGACCCACATATAAGGGGGGGAGAGGAAGAACCTGCTGAAGCCCAAGCGGGAAAAATGCCTGCACCTGCTGATGATCATACTCTACTTCGTTCTCCAATTGGTGGTTCTCAACCTATTGGCTTTGACTGCAGGACAGGGCCACCACATGAATCCTGCAACACCAAGGTTGTTATTTCTAAGATGCGGGAGGAGATGCGGGAGGAGATGCAAGAGTTGTTCCGGCTTATGCAGTATAATATAGCTCCTATGATTCAGAAGGAAGTTGCTCCTATGATTCAGAAGGAAGTTGCAGCAGCTCTTGCACAGTCTGTACCTTGCCCAGAGACAAATGCCCCTATTGTCTCTCCTTCAGGGCCTCATCATAACACTCTTGGCAACATCGAAAGAACTGATGCTGTTGCTGGGTCCTCTGGTGGTCCTATCACCCAGTCCTCCCCACAAAATGAAGAGGTTTTAACTTTGCCTTGATCCTACTTTTATCTAGTTTCTAATGGGACATTTCGCACGGACAATACATGTTTTATGTTTATGTTGGCTTATTGTAGGTATGGATCAGAGTAGTGCACAGGAAAAGCTTAGCACAAGAATAACAATAATTAGATAAGCTAAACCATGAGTTTGGAATCACATATAGCTATAAGTACACACTATAAATGAGACTTAAACAAAAAGGGTGCAAACAAAAACACTAAAAACAATCAATAAGGATAAACTAAATGGTTATGGAGCCCATGTCCACTAGTGTACATGTACTCACACTCTAGTAATGAATAATGAAGCTAGTCTCGGCACATCCCTACTTCATGCACGGAGGTCCACTATTCTCATTAGATCCACCATAACATGTTAAGCCAAAGCATAACACTCATCTACATATATACAAGATCAAGCACAACACAATCTGTTTCTAACATAAATCATCATTAGAAGCATATAAATATACATGCATGTCATTCAGCTTGCATTCAATTTTTTTAAGGTTATCTTTGGCCGATGACTAAAAGAAGTGGTGTGGCCATGTGGGAGCTACTTTAGGATTGGTAGTATGATTTTTCTATCATGTTAGCATATGATCTGATTACGTGTATACAGAATATGTGGTTGCCGTTTGGCTATAGTGCTGGTTTGAGTGGAATCTCCATACTCACACTACCCTGGAGTTTCAAATATCTCCTCGTTTCTTCTTTATATGGTTTTCAAGTCTTTTTTGTTTATCATTTCAAGGATGTGGATTGGCACTATGGTGCAATAATCCTTCCATGGTTTAATTTCCTCTATGTCCAGTCTGCTTTAAAACAAGCCGAGTGAACAATGAGGTAGTAACATACAAGCTTAAAGGAAGCTCCCACAACTAGATGATGAGCCCTTGTGCTTACAGCTGAGTTTCCACCTTTCGTCTTACTCTCCAGGCCTTTGGCTGCAGCAAACTTTTTCTCAAAGATTTTTGTTCTTTAATTCCACAACCTCCCAGCAACCCTAAAGATGTGGAGAAAATTTATTAATCGATCATCTTGAGTCTATCCTCTTTTAATTTTTTTTTTTCTCTTTTTGGATGCATTAATTATGTCAGCATTTAAATGCTGACCTAATGGTTTGATTAAAAGAGTTCTTAGATATATTTTCTGTTTTTTTGGTGTTGATGGAGGGGATATGGACCATTTGTTTCTAAAATGCACTCATTCCCTACATCTTTGGTTGAGATGCTGTACTCTTGGGGCGGATTTAGCTCTGTTTTGCACTGATATTGTTGATGCTCGTTGTCTACATTTGTCTATGGGATGTTTGATAGGTATATATAAATGTTAAGGTTGGGGCATTAGTTTTCTCGGTTAATTATTGTGTGGTTGATTTGGAATGATAGAAATGATCAATGAGAGAAAAGCAGAATTTTTGAATTCTTTCAGGTCATCAAGTAGTTTGTGTGGTTAAAGAGGAAGCTGGAAAGTGTTGCATGTATATGTTCTTCCATTAGTGATTGTGTACAGTTTCTGTCCTTGCGTGTAGATGAGATAAAAAAGCTGTTAGAATGATGGGTGTTTGAGTTCAAGTAGCTGGCTCTGATCTTTTCAACTCTCTTAAATTTCAGAATGATGGAACAAACAAATTCTTGTTTGTGGATGGTTTTTTTAACTTCTCGGACCCTGGACCTGAAACGGGGACAGGAGATTTGGCAGGTATAGATATGTTTTGCTGCATTATTATAGTGTTTTTGACATTCTTCTAATTATGGAAATATTATTGTTTTAACTTTTTCTTTAACCTGCAGATATTGTGAGGGATTATTGCAGTCCAGCACTACATGGATTACGCCATTGACTGTGGGTGCCAGGAATTCTATGGAGTTTGCTGTGTCTTAATGTTTTTTGGGTTATATCTGGAGTTGGTAACTGGGTATTACATGAACCTATTGTCTCTCCTGTAGACCCTCATCATTACCCTCTTGGTATGTCATTTCTTACGGGGGCATGTCACATTTATGTTTATGTTGGCTTATCGTGGCTATGGATTATGTTGGTGTAGCTATTATCAAGAATGATATGAACTTAATGAACACTAATTAGGTGGTTGTGTTGAATGTGATATTTGTACTGGATGTTAATTATATAAACTACATGTTATTTACAGTGACTTTTACTTTTAGAGGTGTACCTTACTCTTGATCCCCACTTCTATGTAGTTTCATATGCGACATGTCACGTGGATGATGCACGTTTTATGTTCATGGCGGCTTATTGTAGCTATGGATTAATTATGTTGGTGCAGTTATTATTTAGAATGATATTAACTTAATTACATGAACACCAATTAGGTCGTCGTGTCAAATGGGATGCTTGAACTTGATGTTAATTATATAAACTACAAGGTATCACACCTCACAATGCACAGATAGTTAATAATGTTTTTTAGAGTATTTGTTACTAGCAATCCATCCTAATGCAAGAGTCTTAAAATCTGAACTCATTCTCTTAAGAAACGCGGCCACAACCATAGAAAGAAGCTCCCCATCACATTCTAATTGATAGTTCTAGCAAAAGGAGTCACAAAGGACATTCAGGCTTCTCAAGTAATTCAAAAAATGCCTCCTCTTCATCATCAATTCTCGAAGCCACTAAATTTCCTTTCATACCAGGAAGATAGAATGTCGGATTATTGTCATTAGTCAATTTAAATTCCCATCGGTAGAATACTGCCAAGAAAATATGCCATCTCGTCCATTTTCCATCCTCATTTTAGAAGATAAAGTTAAAGAAATAACTGTCATCGTGATTAGGGAGTAAAAAGAGTAACACAATTTGAACAGTTAGATGAAGATGCAACTAAAAACCTCTTCACATTTAAGTAAAGCAAAGAACTGGTTGGTGTCTGCTCGCCGGTTTTTGAAACTTTGCGCCGACACCGGAAATGCTGAAGCTGGCTGTGCTCTCCTCCTCCTGCTAAGTTATATTTTTGTTACGCCAAACGGTTGTTTTTTCCTCTCTGAATCTCATCAGTAACTCGTATAGGAATGCATTTTAACCGTGGGAAGATTGTGGAAATTGATAAGAGCAATAAATAGCAAATGCTCTATTATTTGATGAATTTGGTCTGTTGGAGAAAGGCATGTTTTGTGAGGCTAATTTGGCCAAAAGATGTGTATCCCAGGCTTAATTATATGGTGTTCCTTATGAGTTGTGACTAACAAAACCTCAGCGTATATGCATTCATTTAAAATGAATTTAAAATTCCATCGAAATGTTTTGAAACTAGCTAGGTAAGGGTGGAGATTTTGAAATTGACCTTGCAAAGACTTGGTTGACACTTAACACGAGGGTAGCTGGCATTAATCATAGAGCTCTCTTTTATAGAGTAAAATTTGGTACATTAGTTTTAGCATTTAAAATCAGACGGGGCACAGGAAATGCTCTGCACAAGAATAACAGTAACAATCAGGTAAGCTAAAGCGTGAGTTTGGAATCACATATAGCTGGAAATATACTTACATATAATTAGAGTATAGTTAAGCTTGTACATTACTGAAATAGCTAAGTTTCAGCATCAAATATACATAAGGTTTAACAAAAGACTACATGTAGCTGAAAGTAGATGAGTATAAAGTGTTTATAAACGGACTTAGTAAAGCTAAGATACAAAAAGGCTTGCAAAACAATGGAGCCAAATTCTAGTTTTGGTAAATATACAGGTTTGTGTTACCAAGTAAATGCTCACAAGTCACAACTGACATACAGACTCTCTGGAGTAGCATCTAGGATGTTAGCTACACCTGACACACTCTTTAGCCAGTCTGAAACGAGATGAAATAAACTAGGGTGAGCTTGAGAAAGCCAGTAGTATATACATAGAGTATGGCTTCGAGCAGCTGTATAGTTATTAGTCAATTTTAAGACATGCTATAAACAAGCTACTGAATTTAGAAGAGTTGTAGAAATGCTGATCACAGATTTCGCTTGCAAATAATTGAGATAATGAGCATGCTACAGACCAAGTCATGACAGTTAGCATAAGCATTTCATAATAAAATTAGGCATAAACTGACACGGTGTACATCAACAAAATAGGTTAATTATCATGTCTTTCCTAATTCTCAATATAAATGAGACTTAAACAAAAACAGAATAAACATAAACACCAAAAACAATCAATAAGTATAAATTAAATGGCTATGGAGTCCACTGTCCACTAGTATTCATGTACTCACACTCTAGTAATGAAGCTAATCTCAGTACATCCCTACTGCACACAGAGGTCCCCTATTATCATTAGAAATCCATTATTGGACACCCCTAAGGGATCAACTATTCTGAAACCATAGGGTTAGCTACGCTCTAAACTTCCATAGTTCTAAGGCAATTGCATATATACTAGATTAAGCATATAATTAAATAACTAACATGCATAGCATGTTAAACCAAAACTCACGCCCCCAAGGGTGTGCCTCAACTGGTTAAGAACTTAGGACTCCAAGTTGGAGATCTCGAGTTCAAATCTTGAGACGGGTAGGGAGGAATTAGAGGAAGGAAAAGGCTATCCCTTTTTGTATGGCATATCATATGATGTATCAAAACCATAAATAAATAAATAGCACTCACCAACAAGATCATGATCATGCATAACATAATCTGTTTATGACACAAATCATCATTAGAAGCTAGTATATAAATTTATGCATGCATATATGTTATTCATCTTAATTACACTCAATCACAAGAACAAGCACAGGATGTTCTGTTCCTAGCCTAAAATGCATGTCATTCATCTTACATTCAATTTCTCTTAAGTTAATCTTTGATGCTGATGACCATAAAGTGTGGGAGCTGCTTTGGGAATGGTACGTAGGTGGTATGATTATGATCTAGGTATTTGTATACTAAATATATATGAATGTGCGTGTGGCTGGTGTTTGGCTGTACATGGTGCTGATTTAAGGGTAATGTCCTGTTGTTTTCACTTTTCATATGTATTGTACTAATTAATTGTAGAGTAGTAAAGCCGATCAAAAAAAAAAAAAAAATTGTAGAGTAGTAAATAAGAATGTCCAATATGTGGAGAATAGTCCTAATTAAAGGTGTGATCTTGTGTTGAGCCTCTCTTTCTTAATTATTTGGAGATGCTCTTTACTTTGTCATTGCTTTGATTGGGAGAATTAATGTCCAATTGTTTATATAAGTCTTTCAATGGATAGGGAGTGCTTATAGTGCTAAAATTGATTCATTATTAGGAGATGATTATGAAGATACTCTGCTTATGACAACTTTGGATATTTTTTCTCTATCAATCTCAGTAACCCTATAGGAATGCATTTTAACTGTGAAAAGATCGTGAACTTTCATAAAGGTAATAATTAATAAACACATACTTTATTTTTTAATATTTTGGTCGTTGGAGAATGACATTTTTTGTGATACAAGTTTAAGCTTGTTCCTGTAATAGTCCTTATGGTATAAGTTGTCACTAAACCTCAGCATGAATATATTCAATCAAAATGGATTTAAAATTCCATCAGAATGTTTGTAACTTACGCAAGGAAGATTTTTAAATTGGCCTTGCAAAGCCTTAGCGAACACTAGTAGTTTGTATGGTTAACAAAGAAGAATGGTTACTCATCTCTCTTCGAACATTTAATTCTTTGGGGAAGAGAAAGTGTTGGAGTTGAGTCCTTGAATTTTTGAATTAATACAGGTCATCAAGTAGTTTGTATGGTTAAAGCGGAAGCTGGAAAGTGTTGCACGTATATGTTTTCCATTGGTGATTGTGTTCAGTTTCTGTCCTTGTGTGTAGATGAGATAAGAAGGTTGTTATAATAATAGATGATGGGTGTTTAAGGCCAAGCAGCTTGCTCTGGAGTTTTACAGGATAGTTTACAGAGTTCTGTTTACTGTTTGTAAGGTTAATTTTTTATATTGCAAGTTCAAGTTATTTAGTTGAATTTAGTGATAATTTTTCTTTGTAATTAAAGATTTCATATATGGTTGATAAGTATTTGAATAATGTATTTGTAGTGTGCATAAAAAAATCTTCTTGTATTCTGTTTTAATTGTTAATTTAGTTGAATATAGTGATAGATTTTCCTTGTAATTAAAGATCTTTGTTTGAATTACATATTTGTAGAGTGAATTCATTAGTCTTCAGAAATGGGAAGAACTGTTTGTGAAATTTTGTGAGGATGAGAGAAAATTACTGAGAAGTTCAAAACCTTAAAATTTCTTATCCAAAACTTTTCTTTATGCAGTAGTAATTATATATATATATATAAATGCAGTTAACAAGATTGAACAATACAGTTTTACTCCCCTTTTCCTTTGTCATAACTTAAATTTTTGTTAAAAAAATATATTTTAATTACACAATGAATAAATTAAATTTTACTTTAAAATTATTTTAATTAATCTTATTTTCTGTGTTTCAGGGATCGATTATGAAAATAAATAAAGTTTGGGTTGGAATTTTGAAGGAAAATGACAAAATCAACCTTATGTGAAGAAATTTACAAAAAGAGGAAGTAAATGTACAAAACAAAAAACCATTTTTCTATTTAAAACCTGATTGCAGTGAAGCGCCATCCCAATTCATGCTCTAGGCCCACAAAAACCAAATAGCAGCCCAATTCCACAATAAGCCTACATCTGACCTGAAACCAAGACGAAAGAAAACAAAACCCTAATCCTTTTGGCCAAAAAAAAAAAACCGCCTCTCCTTCTCTCTAGATAGTCGATCATTATCCTTTTTAAAAAAACCCTAGCCGCACAATCAGTTCTTCGTTCAAAGGGGAGAGGGGGAATTGGAAGGCCAAAAACAAAAAAAAGAAAGGCTTTTTCTTCACTCAGTCTCTTTCCAGCCCCTTTGACTCCATCTCACCACCATCTTTGCCGATCATCACTCTCATCACCATCACCCTCATCAATCACCAAGCAGCCAAAAAGAAAGAGAAACGAGGAGGAAGGTGGGGGGAACGCCGGATCTTCCTGATTTTTTGACATCAGAGAACACTCTCTCTTTCCCTACTCTTGGCTTTCCTTCTTTCCTTTCCGCTTTACCTCGGTTTTCTTCCTCTGGATATTTTGCAGATCTGAGTTTGGGGAGAAGAGGAAGTCAGCCAAACTTCCTCTCAGGGGGCAACCACCGAAAATCTCTCCCTTCTCTTGGATCTCTGTGTTTTTCTTGCTAAAACACTACTCCACCTCCAATTATCCGATCATTCTTTCGATCTCATCATCATCATAACCATCAATCAGTCACCACTAAACAAGGGCGGCAACCAGAGGGAAGGAGTGTTTGAGATCTGGTTTTGAAAGGAAGAAGTAGATCGATTCTGCTTGCTGGAGGCGGAAAAACAAAGAGGGAAAGGGGGCAGCTTGTTCTTGCTTTAGGTAATTTTCTGGGTCTTTCTGAAAGTTAATTATCATGATTAATTAATTTTTTTATTTTAAATTTACCCAAAAACTTTTATGATTGAGCATTTGGTCCATTAGCTTTTAAATAATTTCAAATTAGTCCCTTGGATTTCGAATTTGATCAAATCAGTCCCTTAGCTTTTAATTTGATGCAATTACGCATGCATGTTTTCAATTTTGTCCAATCTAATCCAAAGGTTTTAAATGTTGTAATTTATCCATTTGATTTACAAGTTGAATTAAAACTCTATTGTTAAGTATGCCCTTCCTCACTCTTAACCGTATCCACGAACCCCGATCCATGTGCAAATCATGTTTTAGGTGACTTGTCCCAGTGACTCCGTGCTTTTACATTTTCACACTTAATTTCATCATTGTTTTTTATATTTTCGAAATTTTAAGTGTTCGTCAACACCCTTGATCTATTAAAAATAATGTTGTATTCTATTTCTGAAATTTCTGTTTTACCTATTTCTTAGCCTGCAGGAAATTCAAATGCTTCTGATGACAGACATTCCAGAGGTATAGAAAGCTTGTTTCTTTATCGTTCGATGATGTTGTAATTAGCCTATTTCATGGAATTATCGTTTCAACTTATTTTTTATTTTAATTTATTAACTTGCATGAACTGTTTGTAACTTCAGACGAGTTATATATAGATGTTATGTTGTATTTATACTTTTGACATTTCTAATTATGGAACTACTGGTGTTTTAACATTTTCTTAACCGCAGATCCTTGAAATTAAAATAATTCAAACAGGGGACTAGAGGGTGTCACTGCTGTGAATTCAAGTAGCTTTGGAGGTATAGTGAATTCAAGTAGCTCAGGGGAAGTGGGGGTTTTACAATTGTTCTACAACAACTTGGACCTTGGCATGGGCCAAGGATTTTGGTGCACTTTGCCAGCCCACCTTGGGCTGCAAAGGCACTTTGCTGCCTTAATTTTTGAGGGCTAACTCTTTTGTTTTGAATGTGACAGCAATGGGAACCCCATTTGAGCAAGCAGAGGAGTTAGAAAAAGAGAGGAAGAACTGGATGGAGTTGGGGCAAAAGCCTGCAACTGCTTACACTACTCCAACTCATCCCCCAATTGGTGGGTTTATGGCTGCGGCTTGCCAGAATTACTGCTAGTCAGCAGCTGCACTGGCTACTCAAGAATCTGTGTTCTCAACCAACGAAGGGAAGCTCCTCAGGATAAGGAGGCCTCAACCTCATCATGGGCACCTCCGCTGTTGGAGCTGAGTAAGTTCATATGATAGATTATGGCTTCAAGCTATAACTGAGCAATATATAGTTATGAGTCAATTTTAATTCATGCTAAAAACAATCTACTGAATTTAGAAGAGCAATAGAAATGCTCATGACAGAAACTGCTCCCAAAATAAATAAAATAAAAAGGGAGCTCCTGTGATTAGGTGATGAGCCCTTGAGCTTACAGCTGAGTTTTCACCTTCACTCTTACTCTCCTGGCCTAGGGCTGCTGCAAACTTTTTCTCCAGAAACTGCTCTATGTTTTGTTATGGGTGCAGTTTTCTTGTATGTTATTTTGAGGATTTTCTATAGGTTCTACTGTTTAGGATCTGTTTATTTGTGTGGTAATAATGGATGAGTTTATTTCTCTACTTCCTTCCAAGTTCCATCCATGCACCTTTTCTTCTTGGGTTTTAACATAATATACTATTTTATCACAGCCCTACGTCCCCACAAATGGGCCTGGATTCCACCCCTATGCCACACATTATGTGCATGTTTTCAAAAGTTCACAAGGATGGAACATGCGAATTATTGGACATGGATGCTTTTCTTTAACTAGTGGGACTTGAACTGTCGACAGGAAATTTAGCAGGTATGGATATGTTTTGCTGCATTATTATAGTATTTTTGACATTCTTCTAATCATGGAATATTATTGTTTTAACTTTTTCTTTAACCTGCAGGATCCTCAAATGTTTCCTCCAATTGTGGGGTAGAATTGCAGTCCAGCACTACATGTACTACGCCATTGACTGCGGGTGCCATGAATTCTACTGCAAGTGGTGGAGATTAGTGAGTTATTTCAGGATTGAGTTTGCTGCGTCTTAATTTTTCTTTTTCTTTTTTGCTACTGTCTTGCCATATAAGGAGGAACTACTGCTGCCATTGGATCCTCTGGTGTCCTACCACCTAGTCCTCACCACACAATAAAAAATTTTAACTTTACCTTGATCCCACTTCTACCTACTTTCTTCCAAGACATTTCAAATGGATGATGCAGCTTTTATGTTTATGTTGGTTTATTGTAGCCGTGGATTATGTTGGTGCAGCTATTTAGAATGATATGAGCTTAATTACATGAACACTAATTATGTGGTTGTGTTGAATGGGATATTTGAACTTGATGTTAATTATATAAACTACAAGGCACAACCATATAATTAGTCTGGTGGGATCACCAGCGGATCCAGTGGCAGCAGTAGTTCCTCCTTGCATGGCAAGACAGTCCTGATGAGGCTCTGTAGGAGAGACAATAGGATCATATAATACCAAGTTACTAACTCCAGATGTAAGCCAAAAAAAAGAGAAAAATTAAGACACAGCAAACTCAGTGCTGAAATAACTCACAACCTCTACTGCTTGCAGAAGAATTTATGGCACTTGCAGCCAATGGCGTAGTACACGTAGTGCTGGACTGGAATTCTATTGCACTGTGCACAGTATAGTTGAGTGATATTACTTAAGAGTGTTTTTTAAAGGTTTGCCTTTACCTTATCCCACTTTTATGTATTTTCTTATGGGACTTGCATGTCACATGGATGATGCACATTTTATGTTCATGGCAGCTTATCATACCTTTGGATTAATTATGTTGGTGCAGCCGTTCTTTAGAATGATATTAACTTAATTACATGAACACTAATTAGGTTGTCGTATTGAATGGGATATTTGAATTTGATGTTAACCATATAAACTACAAGGTACACACCACGCGATGCACAAGTAGTCAATGATATTATGAGTATTGTTACGACTAATCTATCCTGATGTAGTAGACTCTGGAAATTTGAACTCATTAAGAAGCCTACAAGCATAAAAAGAAGCTCTTCATCACATTCTAATTAAAAGTTCTGACGAAAGGAATTACAAATGACACTCAGGCTTCCCAAGTAATTCAAAAAGTACTTTCTTTTCATCCTTCATTTTCAAAACCAATAAATTTCCCTTCATACTAAGAAAATAGAATCTTGTATTATTGTAATTAGTTAATTTGAATATTTGGCAGTAGAATACTGCAGAGAAATTATGCCATATTGTTCATTTCCCATTGCCAAAGTGGGAGGAAACTTGTTTTAAGGAATTAAGCAATATGATATGGTTTAAAAACGGAATAGGGGGTCATTAGTTATGGTCAGTTGTAATGTTTATTGGATTTTGTGTTCAAAAACTTTTTTTTCCCAAACCCAAATTAAAATTATGTGCAACTTCTCCTGACAAATGTTTCTTGAGAAATAGGAACCCAATCGCAGCCTAACAATCAAATGAGCAACTCCATATCCCGAAAGGCGTTAATTTTCAGTTGATTATCTGGTTATCATGGCAATGAGTGCTCTTCTCTACGCCCTAAAATTATAATTCATTGTAAAAAATAATCATTATTACTTACATTTAAAATGTCTTTTGTTTTAAATGTTCTCTAAAAAATAAAAGTTGGACAACTAAAATTAGACGGACTTACTGTTTTCAAACTCACTGTATCTTACTCCTTTTCTTTGAGATATGAGGGTAAAAAAATTTGGTTAAATCCCCTTTTTGGTCCCTCAACTATTGTACGGGCCCCCGACTTAGTCCCTCAACTCAAAAAATCCCTGACTTGGTCCCTACTGTTTACCATTTTTACCCCAATTTGGTCCTTCTGTTAAAAATCCCGTTACTTATGCTGTTAATTCACTGTTATAGAGTGACGTTGCAAACTATTATACACGTGGCAACAAAAATAATAATATAAAAATAAAAATAATATGAAAAAAAAAACTTTAAAAAATTCTTTCTCTTTTTTTTTTCCCTTCTCTTTCTTTCCCCTTCTCTTCCCCTTTCTTTTTACTCTTCCCCCCTTGGAAACCCATCAGCCACTGCTGGGTTCCTCGGAACCCAGGCGTTGGGTTTCTTGGAACCCAGGCCTGGGTTCGTTCGAAGAACCCAGTAGATGGGTTCGAACGAACCCAGGCTCAAGGAACCCAGCTGGGTTCGCCTGGGTTCGTTGCCTGGGTTCGTCGTCTGGACCTGGGTTCGTCGAACCCAGGGCTGGGTTCGACGAACCCAGGCGATCTGGGTTCGACGAACCCAGGCGATCTGGGTTCGGTCGACCTGGGTTCAGCCGACCTGGGTTCGTTGAACCCAGGGCTGGGTTCGACGAACCCAAGCGATCTGGGTCCGTTGAACCCAGGCCGAACCCAGATCGCCTGGGTTCAACGGACCCCGATCGCCTGGGTTTGTTGAACCTAGCACCAGGTTCGTCGAACCCAGCCCTGGGTTCGAAAGAATCCAGGACGCCGCCTGGGTTCGTTCGAACCCAGGCGTCCTCCAGGAAGCCAGGCGGCTTCCTGGGTTCGAACGAACCCAAGAGCAAAAGGTAAAAAAAAAAGAGAAATTTTTTTTTTTCTGTGGATCTTGTTGTTTCATGATGATGGAGGAATTGATTGATGAAGAAGGCTAGGTAAGATAAGGATCTGAGAACTGGGAATGGGGAAGAAAGGGGGAGAAGAGTTCAAGCTTTGCAGGAGGTGGGGCCCACTCTTTTTTTTTTTTGATTTGTGGATCTTGTTGTTTCATTATGATGAAGGAATTGATTGATGAAGAAAGCTAGGCAAGATGAGGAACTAAGAACTGGGAATGGGAAAAAAGGGGGAGAAGAGTTCAAGCTTTGCCGGAGGTGGGGCCCACTCTTTTTTTTTTGATTTTGGATCCGAATCATACTGCCATGTCATCTTTTTTTACAGGTGTGCATATGAGGTGTCATTCTATTTTGACACATCATCATGTTTCAGTTAATTAACAGGACACGTCATTGGATTTTTAACGGAGGGACTAAATTGGGGTAAAAATAGTAAATAGTAGGGATCAA